TTAGGCATAGACTCTGAGTAGGAGGCCAGTGAAGACCACAGCCACTCCCAGTCCCCCCACCGCAGTGACAGTGTGGCAGTAGAGGAGGCAGGAGAGAATGATGGCAATAGCCTGGCGGAAACAGCAGCTCCAAATTGTCCAGAAGATGAAGATCTGACCAAAGACAGAGCAGATGGAGAGGAGGGCATGGAGTGTAAACTCACTGTGCCGTCCCATGAAGCAGGCTCCCTCCAGTAGTGGGCCTACTGTGAAAAGACAGGAGAATAAATTGACCCCAAACATCATCTGTACTCATGACATCTTATAGGCAAACAGGGCATCCTGCTTGTTTGAGGTGAAGCTGTCAAAAGCAATGTAGCCTGTCAGTAGACTCAAGCCTGAGAGCTTGGTGGCTGGAGAGCTTCGGGGCTCTGGTCCACAAGACAGCAGAAACATGCTAACTCCAATAGAGACGAGGCCAGCAGTCAGGTATTCACAGTGTCCATAGCTTTGTCTAGACACCAGCTTTGCCATCATCATGACAGGAGTCATCTTGGCCAGCACCTGGGTAGAAGCTGACAAACTTAAGTGCTTCATATTGGCACCAGCTGCTCCGCACATTTGACAGACTGGCATCAGTACATGGGTGCCCCATGACGGGGTTGTTTGCATTGGACACAGTAGAGACCTGCCACGCTCAGTGCCAGCATGTGGTTTATTAGCATTAGGAAATGTGAGTCCGTGAAATGCTCACCTGGTGATGTGGCTGTGGCCCCATAGTTGCCGGCCATCACTCTTAACTGCAGTATACTCCAAGTCAGATAGGACACCTGGAGCCCCGAGGCACAGAAGATCAGCTTCAGGACCTACCAAGAGGGAGTACCATCCGCCGCCTCTGTTCTAGGAGCCAGTAGAACCTCATCAGATACCTTGGACTCATAGCCAAACACACAGACCTTCACCAAGGGAAAGCAGAGATCCTGCCTGTCTCCAGGCAGTTCTTCGTCTTAAGTATTGCACCAGAAGGTAGCCAGGTACCCTAAGACTGGCATAGCCAGCAACATAAAAAAAAAAAAAAAAGTAGAACCACAGCTGTGTCCAGGACTGCAGAGGGACTTCCAGTGATTCCACCTGCTCGCAAAGATGGGAGCGTGGCGAGCACCACTACTGCCCACCACCATCTGGCATCCATGGCCCAGCTGCGTGGAGCGGAAGTCCCTGGGCTAAACGCTCCCTCAGCTCCCTCTGCCACCTGCTCCAGCAGCCCCAGAACCACTTTTTTGTTTGTTTGCTGAGCTAGTTATTTAAGAAGTTGAAGAAGTCTTCCTCCTCCCTCACCTCTGAGTAGTACTGTTGCCTTCATGTGTTTAAGTCCTAACAATAGTTTGAGTTGTAGCTTCATAGTGAGCTTTTATATCTAGCAAGACAAACATGTATCTGTCAAGTAAGCTACACCAACCTTCGATCACAATAAATCGATATCTTGGTTTTGGTATTTTAAAAGTTTTGCTGTCAAACCTGTATGGGGAGAACAGGGGCTGCAGAACCTCACTGAAGGTTACAGGTTTTCTTCCTGAAGTTGTATGCTGAGACAGGCATGTTTTGTGGTTATTGTTAGGTGTTGATTTGCCTGGATTAAGGGATACCTAGAACATTGGAGGGAAAGTATCTTTACTAGTTATGTCTGGGGTTGTTTCCAGAGACTAGCGTGTGAGTTGGTGGGGAAAATTCAATTTCAGTGTAGATGGGCACTAGTTGGGCCTCGAGCCGAGACAGAACATAAACACAGGAACAGTGGATGCTTTTCCTGCCCTTGAGCTTAATGACTCTTTTTGGCCTTTGGACTCCACTACTGGTAGCATAGACTCCCAGGGTCCTGGGCCTTTACCCTGGGCTGAAAGTTCCACCATCGGTTTTCCTGATTCCGAGGCATTTGGAGTTGGACTGAGCGAGGCTATAGCATTCCAAGGTCTCCAGTGTGCAGGTGGCCTGGCATAGAACTTTTTAGTCTCCATAATCATGTAAGTAAATCCCACCCCACCCCCCTTTGCTATATAAATTTCTTGGTTCTGTGTCTGGAGAGCCAGAATATATCTGGTAACCAGTTAGTAATCCTCCCTTTTGCTGGTAGATGTTCCCCTCAACCCATTTTAATAAGTAGGATCCCCGTTTACTGGAACCAATTCAAGTCCAGCTCCTCCAGGACACTCTTCCATTCATTGGGCTGACTTTAGCGCCTGCTTTCCTTCAGGTCTACCTTCAAATTGACTTTGATTTAGGTTTGTTGTACCTTTTGGGGTTGAGGAGGGGAATGTTCCAAGAGTTTCTCTACAATACTATTGAGCTCAATATTAACAATTATTTAGTGTTCTTTTGTGAAAGAGCTTTCTAAAGGTATGTTGCCCACAGCAGATGTATACCCTGCCCAACAATTGGCAAATGCAGGTCGGACCTGGTAGCGCATGCCTGTAATCCCAGCATTTAGGAGGTGGAAGCAGGAGAAATAAAGTTCTAGGTTATCCTTGGCTACACAGTGAGCTGGAGGTCAGCCTGAGCTACATGAGACCATTTTGCACAAAAATGCTGGGGATGGTGGGGTTTGGCTGAATGACTCAGTCTACAAAATTTCTGGTGTATAAGCATGGGAACCTGTGGTAATATATTATGATATATTAAAGCTTTCCTGAGGATTCAGAAAAGCAAAATCAGCCACAAGCCATAGAAGCCAGGCACACACCTGTAATCCAAGCAGCCAGAAGCTAAGAGGTAGTGGTACACACCTTTAATCCTAGGACTTAGGGTTAAGAGATAGATGGATCTCTGTGAGTCCAAGGCCACCCAGATCTACACAAGAGTGAATCAGTCTAAAAGAAAATTATAACTCACACCTTTAATCCCAGCAATGGAGGGTTATAAAAGACAGGAGCAAGGAGTCAGTAGGAGGCATTCATTCTTTCTCCAGACATGCTGAGGAGAGGTTACAGTCTGAGCCTTGGTGAGAGCTCATGGAGACAGAATCAGCTATTCAGCCTGAGGTAGAGGTAAGAAGCTAGTGGCCAGCTGCTTTGCTTTTCTGATATTCAGCTTGAAGTTTGAACCCTAATATCACTCTCTGGGTCCTTTCATTTTTCTTGTTATAGGGACCTGAGTAGAAAGCTAAGCATGGAGACTATCATCCCATTGTAGTCATGGAGACAGGTGCCCAACCATTGTATCCAAATAAGCCTCAGGTACAGTGAAAGACTATCTTAAAAACATTGTTTTAAAAAAACAATAGAGGAAAACACTCAACAGTGACCTCCACCCTTCTCATGCAAACAAGCACACCTGCTCACAAACAAGCACATACAATGTGCACAAATACACACTAATGCAATAGATAACACCTTTAAAACGTGGCAAGCTCTTACAACTCTAGGTTGTAGTAATGGGATATAGTCTAAGATTTGAAAATAATAGTGCCATTGTGTTAAACTGACCACAAATAGCGTCTCATACTTGGTGCTAGTAGGCAGATGTGCTGGTTACTCTTTGACGCAGAGAGTTACACAGGAAGAGGGAACCCCGGTTGAGGCATTGTCTTCATCAGCCCACTACAGATGGTGCTTCCTCAGGCAGGTGGTCCTGAGTTGTGTAAGAATGCAGAAGCAGGAAGCAAGGCAGTAAGCATCAGTCCTCCATGGCCTCTGTACCAAGTTCTAGCCTCTAGGTTCCTGCATTGAGTTCCTACCCTGGCTTCCCTTGTGGATGAACTCTAACCTTAAGTAATAATAAACCATTTCCAACCTCTTTGTTTTATCATAGCAACAAAAAGCAAACTAGGACAATGCATTTAAGATGGCCATGTTATAGTGTAATATCTATAACCAAATCAGTCAGCCCTCCAAGTCTATTTAATTTTGTGAAGAAGCCTTCATGACTTGTTTTATGACCATAAAACTTGTGATTTAAATACTTAAAAGATAAACAAGCCAGGTGTGGTGGCACATGCCTTTAGTCCCAGCCCTTGGAGGCAGAGGCAGGTAGATGTCTTGTAAATTCAAGGCTAATTGAATTTTATGGTTTATATGGTGAATTCCAGGACAGCCAGGACTACATAGTGAGACCCTGTCTCGAAAAGAAGATAGGAAAACAAATAGTTGATTATTTGGTAGTTGGTGGGAAAATATTTTAAAATCTTATATTCCAAATTTTTCACAATGGAAAAAATGGAGAGTCTATTTAAATACTAAACAGTATTATTTTGGGGGAAGCCAGAAACCTAGACAATTAGCCTGTAAGATTTGTGTATTTAGCAGCTGGAGGAAACGATTAGTTCATATGTCTTTTCTATATATTGTAGTTGATTCAGAGTATAGCAAATACTGTATATTCTAAAAGTGTTAGGGTTTGCCTTCACATGGAGATTCTGAGTTCATTTGGATGGTGGAATGTTCCCTAAACATTTGTGTATTTGGGAAGGTCACAAAGGTCATTGAACCTTTAGGAGGTGGAGTCTTCTGGAGGAAATATGTCACTGGGGGTGGGCTGTATTTATAGCCTCACCCTACTTCCTGTTCTTACTCTTCCCTGTGTGTAGATGCTACCATGATGTTCTCTGCCCCTCTAGAACCATAAAAGCCACAACAAACCCTTTCTTCTTCAAGTTGATTTGGGTGCAACAAAAAGTAACCAACAAAGGAATTAAGGGATCCCGGAAGAACTATGAATAGACAAGCATTGCGGCAAGTGTGTCTCAGAAGGCTTTCCAGAGGAACCGATGTGATAGACCACTTGTGTCATGAAGTAGCATGGCAGCTGATGGCTCAGCTCAGTCCAGTTGTTAGCAAGCACTTGGAGCTGGAACCTAGGTCTTCCTTTAGCTCACTATTCATTCTGTCTTTGCAGCAAACCCTTAGATTTGCAAATCACTTTTGTTAATTTTGGTTTAATATGGAGATAGGGAGGAAAGTTCCTTAGAATCCAGGAGTTAGAATTGTCATGCTAAGGTAAGTCAATATTAAATAGACAGGACACAATCATTTCACAAAAAAAGATATATTTCCACTCATGGCTATTTACAGTTTCATATTCAGAGAATATCATATAACTGATACCTTCTGCAATGTTTCATGCTTTTCTTTTAAATGCCTCTATTTACATTTATATGACATGGAATTAAAACTAAGATGGTCAAATACCATGATATTAAACAACCAGCAACATAGCTATGTCTTCTTAAATTTGCTGATCAACATTAGCAACAGTTATCTTAATAATAAATTACCATTTATTTAAAAATCAGTAGTAATTTTAAACAATTCATAAATTCATAAATAAGTATGCTCTGTGCAATTTACACATTTAACACCCTGTGGATATTAAACGCTCGTATCTTGTTAGATTTGCACATTATTTATCAGACCATAAATAAGCATTCCGAGCCAGACTGGAGAAGTTTCAGGTAAGGCCTCAAGGTCTTCTGGGTGGTTCTCAGAGCTCGGCCTGCTTCACCGAGGGAGGTTCCAGTTTCCGTGAGAGGGCGGTTAAAATCTGGTTGAACTTCTCGTATCTCTCAGTCTGGTTGACTTCAGCACCCTTGCTGCCCCACAGCAATCGCATCTGAAATTCAGTCTTCAAGATTTCACTCATTTCTTCATCAGGTTGAAAATCTAATCAAAATAAAACAGGTAAGTTCGGTTCTGCCTCAAAAAAGTGAATGAAAGCCTTCCTATTTTACAGTAGAATTAAATGAACTTCCTCCTCTCTGAGTTCTAAAAACTGCTTCCATAGAAAAATGTAGGATGACATCATTTGGCCAGCTTTAAAGAATCCACAAGCCTGTGTCCCCCGGTGAGTGTTGGCTGGCATCTTGTCTGGATTTGTTCCTAACAATTTTACTTGCCATGTGATTCAACTATGTAAGCTGTAAGATTTGATTGATGCTAGTAAATTTATAGATACTTTATTCAGCTTAGAAAGTTCCCTAGTACTCCAGACAGCCAGTCTGTTCCTGCCCCGTCCTAGAGAACCGCTGATGAGCCTTGCTGCTTTAGAAGTCTGATAGAAGTGGAAACATGTGATAGGTTGTGCAGTCAGGGCGCTTTCACTTCGTGTCATGGTTTTCAGATTGTTCTGTGTGTGGCATGTTAGCAATAACACATCCATTTAATTGCTGATTAGTAGGCGTTTATAATATATGGACATATCAGATTTTGTTAACCCATTCACTAACTGATGTACTGTACATGTACAAGCCCGAGTATGGATGTTTATTTCTATAGGGTCATATGGTAAACCTGTGCTTATTTTGAAAGAACTAGTCATAACCTTGTCAGTTTTATATTCACTCATAATATATGAAGATTTCAGTGTCTTCATGCCTGGTTTTTATCAATAGTCTTCATTAGAGCCACTCTGGGTATCTCACTGCATCTAAAGTTTCAATTCCTAAACAATTTTTTCCCTAACAGTTCTGCATCTTCTCTGAGGTGGCGTCTATTTAAATTACTCATTTGGGGTTTTTTTGTGGGTTTTGTTTTACTTGTTTATTTTGGTTTTTTGAGGCAGTGTTTCACTGCTGGACTTACACTCAAATAGACCCACCTGTCTCTGCCTCCCAAGTTGGAGTTAAAGGTGTGCTCTGCCACCGCCTGCTACTCCTTGTGTTTCATGAGGTTTTTAAGCTGTAAGTTTTTCTCCTAAGATACAGGTTTAATTGTATAGCTTGCTTTTTTACTTAATGTTTTGAAGAGCAAAAATTAAAAATCATGATTAATTAGTGTTTTTGGTTAGGCTTTATACTTTTCTTCCTGCCAGGGGCATCATGCGATTCTTTTATATTTTATTACAGGACCTTTTTATACTATAAAGTTGAAAAATCTAAGAGCCAAGTGATTTGCTACATAGGTTAGCTTCTTTAATATGTAACATCCAGTGTCATATATATTAGGTGCTTTAATAGCTATTGAATTGTATACTTTAATTATGAGTCACATGCCAAACCTGAGGACCTTGTGTGACTGCACATGTGTGTGAAAGTAAGGAGCCGTCTACCTTGTTTTTCTGAGACAGTATCATTGGCCTTGAACTCATCAAATAGGCTATGCTTGCTGCCAATGGGCCCTAGGGAATCCTCCTGGGTCTCCACATACGCTAACTACCATGTCTGGCTTTTTCATGTGGATTTTGGAGATGGATGTCAGGTCCTCTTTTGACTGAGCCATCTCCCTAGCCCCTGAGGAATCTGTGAGGAAAGTCAAGAAACAAGTATATGGTACCCACAATGCAGAGTCTAGTACTAACATGTAGCTCTGAGGTAACAATATTCTATTAAAATGAGATTGATAGGCCCATTTTTGTCCCACACAGTATCTTGAAGGGTCTGAAAAATTAGAAGCCTTGGCTAAAGTTCTTGGTCAAGCACTTGATTTCTAAAGAGGCTGTCTTCCTTCAGCTCTGCAGCCCATCCTCCACATGTCACCAAGGTGACTCAGTTTAACCCCTCCCGAGCTACAGCCCCTCCATCTTCAGTGCAGTTGGCCTTTCTTCAGGTCAAACTTTACACCAGTGCAGACTTAAGAAGTGGACTCCCCACTCTTCTGAAGCTCTCCCAGAATCCGGGGTTCTACTCTCCAGGTAGAATTCCTAGTTCAACCCATCACTGCTTTCTGGCAAACGACTTTAATGTCTTAATCATCAGTAAAGGGGGCTGAGGAAATAGCTTACTTGGTAGAATGTTTGCCTAGGATACATGAAGCGCTGGGTTCAATCTCCAGCACTCAAGTCAGGCATGTGGTGTATGTGAACCTGTAACCCTGGCTCTTGGGAGGTGGCAGCAGAAGGATGAAGTTCTAGGTCACCCTTGGCTAGATAGCAAATTTGAGGCCAGTCTTGGATCTGAGACCCTGCCTCACAAACAGTACAACTGTAACTGGAATTTCTTTTCTTCTGGAAGTTATCTCCACATGCTGCCCGTCTGAGCAGATCCCTTTTCCTGAGTGTCCCATGGCATGCTCTGCACTTGCCACTGTGTGCTCAGCTACCTTTTTAGATGCCTCTAAGCACCTTGAGGATCAACCACTTAGCTCGGTGCAGCACAACACCACACCTGTGATGAATGTTTATCAGTCAGTCCGAGAAGCTGCTTCCTTCTACAGAGCTTAAGGACGTTCAGTTTACACAGCCCTTTCAGCATGTGTGGGCACATGGAGCACCTGGAGCAGGGATAACGAGGAAGGAAGAGGAGCACAGACAATGAAGTCTAGATGAAACACCTTGTGGCGACTACTGCCTTCCCAGGTGCTAATGGTGGGCATTCTTCTTGACTCTGCCTTTCATTTTTTCTAACCCTTGATAGAACACAGAAGAAAAGAAATACAGGACATAGTTTGGGGATGAATTAGAATAATGATAATAACACATATATGGAAGATAGCTCAATCAGTAAAGTGCTTGCTGTGTAAGTACAAGGGCCTGAATTCACTCTCCACAATGCACTTTAAAAAGCTGGGCATTAACAGTTGACAAATGGGGCATCATAGCATGAAAAGGCTCTGACAGAGGGTTAATACCCAGAATATACAAAGAGCTTAAAAAGCAGAGTCAGGAAGACAAATGACCCAATTTTAAAAAATGTGCTATGGAGTTCTGAAGAGAAGAAACGAAAATGGCTAAGAAACACCTTTAAAAAGTGTTTGCTATCTATCCTTAGCAATTAGGAAAATGCAAATTAAAACTACTTTTGAGATTTCATCTTACCCCATTACCCTAGTCAGAATGGCAGGGGAAAAAAAAAGCTTTCAAGGATTGAAAAACTCTTATTAATCAATGTTGTTCAGTGTTGGCAGAATTGCAAAATAGTGCAGCCACTATGGAAATTGGTGTGAGGAATTCTCAAAAAGCTAAAAGTAGCTCTACCATATGAGCCAGCTACACCACTCCTTGTCCTATGCCCAAAGTGCTTGACTTCCTATTACATGGATACTTGTTCAGTTGTGTTCGGTGTGCTCTGTTCTCAATGGACAGAACTAAGAAATACTATTCTGAGAGGAGTAACCAAGACGCAAAAAGACAAACGCCTCGTGAAAAGAGACCAGGGTAGGTTGTGTGGGGGCTCTAGAGGTGCTATGAGGGGAAGGGGAGCTTTATCCCTTCTCTCACTCTGTTCCCAGTTGAAACATAGTTTGTTTACTAACGTTAGTATATATGTTTAATTTAAATAAAGTTAGGCAATTGCGGGTGATAATGCTCCCTCCCAAGAGCCATAGTCAGTGTAACAGAAACCCCAGTGCTAGGCATAGGAAACCCCTTGTTGAGTCTTTGGCCAAAAGACTCCGAGAACTTGGTGAGACCCTATTGTTGAAGATACCACATACTTGAGACACAGGACCTTGAGGGATGGAGCTGGGACTGACCTGGAGGCCTCCCTGAGGACTGGCTCTCCTAGCATCTCAAGGTGCTGTGCAAGCTGCCTAGGATGAGATTCAATTAAAGTCCTACTCAGCTTTAAAGCCTGTGAACCACAACCATGACTGTTACAGCAAGCTATCTCCAAGGGGTCTTGGGGGTAACCAACAGCATCTAATTGGATTTAAGGCCCACTCAGGAGGAGTGGTACTGTAAACCTAGCCAAGTACCTGTGGCTAATGAGGTCAGAGGAGAGCACACTACCACTTTCCTAAACCAGTATAATTCCCAGCTGCATTCCAAACGTCTACCTTATACTCACCGATAGGTGTAGCTCAACCCACTCATCAAAGCAGCTGCTGTGCAGCAGATGGCAACCATCACAGAACTCTCCAAGTGGTCAAAATGCAGAGGACAATTTACAGTGAGTTGCCCATCTCTCACTTGGTAAATCCACACCCAATCTCTACACCTAAAGCTCAGGGGAACATCAAGGAAGAGGGTGTGGAAACAGTGGACCAGCCAGAGGACCAAGATACATGCTGAGGCACTGTCTTGTACATATGATAGAAGCTGCGCCCGTGAAATGTCAAAAATAGGTCATCTAAACTACACCTGTACAATGGCAACACGAGCTGACAGCCGGAAGTAGATAGAGGAGATTTTACAAGGCCCCACCCCTAGATGATGTGCTCTAGGTAATGAATGACTGCTGAGAGAAGAATCAGTCTCCTCAAGGGACAAGCTCCCTGATGTGTTACCCAATCCCAGTTGGCCGTCCCTAAACACCTATACATATGAACAACACTAAGTGGACTGTGTGTGTGTAACAGTAAGTAAAGTGGTCTACACAGGGAGACAGGAGGTGAAGGTAGGTAAAAGTGTACATACCCATGACATTCTCAAATTTTTTTTTTTTTTTTTTTAAATCTGGGCATGGTTATCTGAGATGGCTCGGTGGTCCAGAATGTGCACCACTGTTGTAGAGGACCTGAGTTTGGCGTCTAACACCTATGTCAGGTGGCCTACAACTGCCTGTAACTGGCTCAACAGGATGCCACCTCTGGCCTCCCTGGGCACCTTCACTCATGATACATACATACATACCTACATACAGATATACATATAATTAACAATAGTTTTTAAAGCCAGGCATAGTAGGTACCTCTAATCCCCATGCTGGGGAGACAGAGATGGAAGGATCCCTGCCACTTGTTGACAGTCAACCTAGCCTCCATAGTTAAGTTCCATGCCAGTAAGAAACACTGACTCAAAAAGAGTGGTGTGTGGTGCCTGAAGAAGGACATCTGAGGTTGGCCTCTGGCCTCCACACAGGTATAGTGTGTGTGTGTGCATGCGCGCGCACAGTGAAACCCGTTTCTTTATACTTGCGTGCTCTTAGACATTATTGAAATAAGAAGTAATGACCAATGGTATAGGAAATGAAGTGTTCACACCTTAATTTCATCTCCTTGGTCATTTTTCTGAGGGCATCCATGCCCTTTCTTTTATTCCTTCATTCTAATCCCCCCAGAGAGAAGATTCCAGAAACAAGTTCCTACCTGCCAGGATCCTCTCAGCATTCATCCTGTAGCTCTCTGAAGCTTCAGCCATGAATCTGGCTGTTGCCAAGTGGTTCAGCATAATTTCACAGCTCTCGTCGTTTTTTTCCCACATGTCAGTTCCTTCAAAAGTGACAGCCTGACGTTCCATCAAGGTCACTAGAGGCATCAGCAGTGGGACTGATACACTGCTTGGTGGGACATACTTGGACTCTGAGGAACAAGGAGGAAAGTTCCATATCAGGTTTTGTTGACAGTTAATCACAGGCCGACTGGTAGTCTGTTTCATGTAGCAACTGCAGATCTGGACATGCAATGCCATTGTGTGACTATAAAACTGGAGGGGCCATCATCAGCCTTGCCGATGACAGGGTCTCATCACTTGCCTCGGCGTTTAAAGCGCTGGCAATAGAACAGAGACTGCTTAAGGAGCAGTCTGCGCTCCTGTGCTCACCTCTGCCTTCGTGCAGGGCTTTGCTGAAGGGCTTCAGCTGCTTTTCATAGAGGACGGCTGTTTGGGTGTAGTGGTGCCGTAGAGCAGTCCATGTTTTTTCTAACCTTGTGATCTGGAAGAAGCAAAGCCTGTTGTTTCAGAGAGCCTCTTTTAAAAAAATCACCTTTCTGTTACATGTTGGAGTAGGTGATAGATGTGTATAGCAATGTCAGAAGCATTCTCGAGTTGAGAGAAAAAAACGTAACCCCTCTACCCTGTGTCCGCGTGGTTCTGACGACCCATGCCACAGCTCTTAAGTGCTTGCATGTGTGTCTATACACACTTTGAAAAAAACAAAGGCCTAAAATAACTATAGTTATTTTGTGTGTGAGAGTGGGTGACTCCAAGAAACTTGTAGGAAGGGCACTTAATTTGTTCAGCATCTTGCTTTTAAGGTGGTCACTCTTTTTAATGAAGGAAATTATGTGCCAAGCATGCTCTGATTCCCAGGACACATGACTGCAGCCATGTCACTCGGTGGCAGGGATGGATGTTTATGAGCACCTGGCAGGATTTCAGAGATCATCTGTGTCTAGGAAACGGCCCAGATAAAGACCCAGCTGTGTTGACGCTGCTGGTCTGATCCGGTTTGCAGGCCTCGACTCTACTCCTCAAAGTTCTCCAAGCACTCACACAAGGGAAGACAGCAGATCTCGCTTCCCTGTAGGAGGCCCACTGTATTTGATTCTCTACTGAAAAATAAAATCCAACATCTGTCAATGCAGACAAAGTCAGAGGCTGGACCTGAGACATTCTGCAGGGACGCAGGCGACAAGTGAGAGAGCTGGACATCTGTCTTAAGTAACTGGAGGAAGATACTTTGGGACAGTCTAGAACAGTGGTTCCCAACCTTCCTAATACTTCAACCCTTAATACAGTTCATGCTGTGGTGACCCCAACCATAAAATTATTTTCATTGCTACTTCATAACTGAGTTTTGCTACTGTGATATAAATATCTGATGTACGGGATATCTGATATATGACTAACTGAATTTTGCTACTGTGATATAAATATCTGATGTACGGGATATCTGATATATGACCCTTGGGAAAGGGGTCACTACCCACAGGTTGAGAACTGCTGGTATAGGGATTCTCTGATGTAAGTTCCTTCAATGCCTTGGTTTCCCCAAGTCATTACCCAAACTGCCCACATTCCTGATGACCCAAATGGATGCAGCCACTGGCGTGCCACACACTGGAGCATGGTCTCTTGTCCTAACTGGTTCTTCAGGAATACTGCTTGTTAGTGGGGCTAATTCTTGTTATTATACATCAAACCTGAGATGTGGACTATCAGCAGTTACCAGTGTTTTTATAAACAGAGCCAAAATAGTAGGGACAACACTCTTGGCTGCCTCCAACGAAGGCAGCTTTCACTAAAATTCAGTTTATCTTTAGAGACTGGCGGAAGCAGTCAGCCATACATGGTGCAGATGAACAGAACTCTGCATAGCATTGAATGCTTACTTGTGTGGAAGGCTGCACAAAGCCAGTATCTCACCTGAGGCATCTCTAGGGCTTTCATGATGGCTGAGAAAGAGTAGAGGTCTCCCATGGCATCTTTTAGTTCCACTGCTACCTGGATGATCTTATTGAGGGTACCTGCTCGGTTCTCCAAAGTACCTGTGCAGCCAAGAATGTCCACAGCGATGCCAATGGCCATGGTGTTGTGTCTAAGTGAGAGAAGACCAAGGGTCAGGCTTAGGTCAACAAGATGAGGAGACAATGGCCCTGATATCCGAAAGCAGGGTTATACGTGTGCCACTGGCTGGGAGCCTATTTGGAAAGCTGATCTCAGTAAAGCTCATCCCACACCAGGCAGAGGATGCATTATGGATTCAGGAAGTAAGATGCCCTTGGACATGACCAGGTTCAGCCCTGCACATGGGAATGTAAAGAGGACCGCGGATGCATGTGGCTACATGCTCCCTCTCCTACCATGAGTAGTCTAAGGAGATACCAAGTCCCCCAACAAAAAGGGGATGCTACCCCTGACAAAGACTGGGCACCACTTAGGAATGGAAAAGACAAAGAGAGAGAGAGAGAGAGAGAGAGAGAGAGAGAGAGAGAGGATATAATTGATCCAGGAAGATGTCATGGGTCTTAGAACAAGAGCAGGAGAGAGGAGACAAGAACGGTGTTCTGCAGCCCCAGTACAGATACCACAGAATTCGGAGAGGTGGACAAAGACTGAAGGACAGGCAGGAATTCACTGTAAGGTCAGACCCTAATAAAACAAAGCATCCACTCCCCCTACTCCATTCTCCCCTTTCTCACCCTAAACTACATGGGTCAAACTCACAGACTTAGGGCAGGAAACAGGGTGACTTCCCCATGACAATGGGGACCCTATGAACAGGGTTACTCAGAGGCAGGAAGCTCAGACAGTGACCTCTTTCTTTCCCTCTGTAAATCTAAACCCAGGAATTTACTGCACTGGGTCAAAATACTCTTAATTTTTTAGGCTACTATGCAATTGCTGGAGGTAAATCTGTAGCTATGATTCCTAAGATACCATGTGCCTTTGAAACTCCAAGATCACAATGTTCTGAAAGCTCAGAGCCTGGGCTGTTGCTTCTTGCTGAGTTCCTTTTGTGTCAAGGTCATTGGTTTCTCACCTTTCTTGAGCAGAGTGACAGTGATTCAGCTCATGCTCAGCCTTCCCAATTCCCCTAAAGCCTGTTAACTAATGAGCTCACTGTCTCCAAGTATTTTTACATGTATATGTCTGGGGGAGGGTAGGGAAAGGGAGGGAGGGAGAGAAAGACAGACAGACACTAGCTCACGTTAGTGGCCAGCAGGTAGAGGTACTCACATCTTACCAGGATGTGGTGTGTGTGTGTGTGTGTGTGTGTGTGTGTGTGTGTGTGTGTGTGTGTGTGTGTGTGTGTATATGTATGCATGCATGCATGCGAGGCTTACATGTCAATGGCCAGCAAACTAGAGGTGCTCATGTGTTATGAGAGGGTGCTCCAGGAGTGAGGTGGTAAATCAGAAGTCATGGGTAGTTTTGTATTTGATTCAAGAACAAGAAAATAAAGTCATGGGGCAGTCTGGGATTCCTTCGACCTTGGCCCATATTTAGTTAACACACCATAACTAATCAAACTATCCCCCTGGCTCTGTGGGTAGCTCCCACAGTCACAGATGGATAGGAAACAAATTGGGGTGCAAGGTTCTAGGCAGCAGCACAAAGAAAGGGGTGTTGACCAGAGTTGAGGTCAGAAAACAGGCAGGAGAGTGGCTCCACAGCTGCTGGTCATGGCGTAGGCTTGGAGCTCAGGCCTCAGCACACCTCTCAGTGCCAGAAAAAAAAGTCTCTGGAGATTTCAGACTCCAGGGTATCCTCTAGGAAAGAGGAAGTGAGAGTGGCTGCTTCACCCAGACACCACCACAGGGGAAGTGAGATGTGCTGCTCCATAAGAGAGGAGACTGGAACCAAGAAGTCTTGACGGGAAAAGCAGGCAGCTCAGAAATGGGACATGTAATTCCCTAAAGCCTTATACCACGAGCCCGCCTGAACAACCTTGCCTGTGGGCACTTTCTAAACAACAGGCATGCAGTCCCATGCTCACCTTTGTAAAGTTATGTGAAATGCAGGCTTTACTTCACAGAGGCCACCAGCTGCTAGCCCATGCGGGTGCTTACAATTCCATCATTTAAAAATCTTCATCTCTCAGTTGCATCTGCCACCCATGTACAGTGGCCAAAACAGTCAGTGTGGTGCACATTCCCTGCACCACAGAAAACCCAACTGCTCAGGGCTATACCCAAGAATATCATGGAGACCATAACTATCATGGCTACTTGGAAATAGTTTAAACAATAGTGTGTGTGTGTGTGTGTGTGTGTGTGTGTGTAAGGCCAGCTTTTGTGATAATATGAAATCTAGTCTTGTGTTTGTCTTGAAACATGCCTTATCTCTAAGCATTCCATGTTCAAGGGCATATTTTTGTTTGTTGTTTGAGAGAAGACTTTATTATGTAACCTGGGCTGACTGGCCTAGATCCTCCTGCCTCAGCCTCCCAAGTACTGAGATTATAGGCAGGTTTGTGTTTTAATGGATACCTGGTGTGATGACCAGTACAGTCAATTTGAGAGAATCTAAAATCAGCTGGTAGATGGGCCCCGGGGGATTCTATTAGCTGAGGTAGGAAGGCATGCCACTGGGTGAGAGTGTTCCCATCTGGGATCCGGCACTGCCCAGCAGCTTGCATTCATTTGCTCCCTGACTGTGAGACGGGGTGACCAGATCTTTCAAGCTCCTGCTGTCTCAGCTTCCCCACCATGAGGAACCATGAACTTACATAAACCTTTCCTAGGACGCTTTTGCCAGGGTAATTTAGTACAGCAACAAGAAAGGAAACTAAGTACCCAGGGGTTATAGAGTTTTTGAAAAATGGCAGTGTGGTTTCCGAGCCCTGGGACCCCTCATCCTCCTGCCCACCCCTTAAAAGAAAGGCCAGAATCGTTCTCCTCAGTCTTCCCCAATCCTGCCTAGTTCATCAGGAGGTCTTAAACTTCAGAGACAAAGAGATGCTCATGAGAGGAGGAACACAGCAGGAAAGTGTAGTGTTCCGGCTGCAGCATGCCACAGCTTCAAAGCCACTCTCTAGCCACCATTCAGGATTGGGGCCAGGAAGGTGTGCTGTCCCTGACTCTCACTGCACTGTCTGCTCATCTCCAGGTATTCTACAGCTCAGCCTTGTGAAGAGCCATGCGGACCCTGGAGTGACATGACTCCAGGACAGGCTGCTGCTGCTGCTCTCTCCATCTGCCTCCTGCTGCCTCCCGCAAGGAGCTCAAAGTGTGGGAAATGCATGCTCACCTTTCTATAATGTCCAGGCGCAGCTGGCGTCCATGAGGCAAGGTAATGAGTTCCAGTCCTGAGCTCACACCCATGCGCCTCTTCATGTCTTCAGAGACTTCTAGTATCCTAGCAACCTGTCAGGAGCCAAGCAGAAATTCACTGGATCAGGAAGTGGGTTGCCCCCAGTGTTAATTTAGCATGAGGAAAGAAATACAGTCAGTCCATGGAGATCCTGTGGCTGTGGAGAGAATGTGCTTGTATTTCTTTGAGCGACAGCGTAATCTTAACATACACAATAAATTATAAAACTGGGTGAGGGGCTGGGAAAATAGCTGGGTCCATAAAGTGCTTGCTATACAAGCCTGAGAGCCTGAGTTTGATTCCTAGTGCCCATGTGAAAAGCCAAGCATGGTAGTGTAAGCATAACCTTCAGCACTGAGATGGAAGAGGCAGGTGGATCCCTAGGGCTCACCAGATAGTCAGCCTACCCTAATCTGCAAGCCCCAGCTCCATGTGTGAGACTGTCTCTCAGACAACAGGGTGGATAGCTCCTCAGGACAACAGAGCTCCACACACTGACATGTGCACACGTACATATGTGTTCTATCTCACACATGAACACACACACACACACACACACACACACACACACACACACACACACACTGCTCCCTCACTTAGTGGGCAAAAGACTGAGGGAAGTCCTAAATGATCTCTACAGCAGATCTGGCATGCATTCATGCCCAGCTAGGGAATTCATCATTTGTTTGAGCTTTGCCCCGGCACAGGCTGGATCCTGGAGGGACATTTTCCTGCCAGCAGCAAGGCTATGCATGTGGAGCCTACCAGTCTCTTTAGTGGAAAAGCAGAGTGCCTTCCAAGCTCCCCTCAGCTCTGGGCTTAGCCATTCATGTTCTAACTTAACAGCCATGGCTGGCTGTTATTGCCCTTAATTACACCTCCCCCGGGTGCAGTAAGTGCACCTTACGGCTGGAAACCATTCCAAACATATGTGATGCTTTAAAACCAACACACCCACACCACCTCCAGAGAGGTTTCCTGAGAGAAAACCTTCCTTTGTTCGAGCCAGCTCTCATCCCAACTCAATTCTTTTCATTGATTAAATTTGTTCTGAGTTCCTTATAGTGGGATCTTTTTACCATCTTGGTTCTAACGTGTCTAGTCACAGTTTAATGGAATGGGAGGTTAGACCTGACCATTTCTAGTTAGTGCACACCATGCTGAAGCATGACAGTGGACTCAGCATGTCTCTAAACTGAGGCCACGATAGCTCACTGACATACTGCAATGTGACCCTGGGACTCAGTGGGTCTAACCAAGTCTAGACATGCCGCTGGCACAGGATAGTTCCTGGGCTTCATCTGGTGGGCTGTCCTCTATCAAAATCACCCAGGCACGCAAACAGTACAAAGATCTTCATAATGTGCCCCACCCTCTCTCTCTCTCTCTCTCTCTCTCTCTCTCTCTCTCCCTCTTTCTCCCTCACTCTCAATCAACCTGACCTTAGCTTCTGTAGTCGAGCAAGGCAACTATTGTCAGCCCTGGGGGATCAGCATGAGGACCTGGCTGTCCAGCAGTGGCTCCCAGGACAGTATGCAGGCTGTATTCTCAGCTCACCACTGCAGTTTCAATTCACCTTTCTTGAGGGCTTTGCCAAGGATGTGAATGACTATTTGAATTGAATACAAGCTGGGAATCATTGGCCATGTGGAAAGGGGCCAGTTCTGTCCGGATCGTAGAAAAGAGAGTCCCACCTTGACCATGGCAAGACATTCCATATGACAGCCTTTCACGAGTTTAGCCCATCAACCTGTCAGAGATTCTAAGCCCTGTACCTCTTTGGGGTGGACTGTAACCCACACCTTCTATGTAACAAGACTGAAGGGCCCACCACTGGCAGTTTTCTTCTGGAGACTGGTAGGCATCCTGGGGGCTCTGTTTGGAGAGCAAAATGCTTCCATTCTGACTTGAGTATAAGTTGGCCATCATCAGGTCCCATTCCTGGGGTACACATACTTTCTGTGGCCAAGCTAGAGGATTAGGGAATGAGTAGCCTACACTGCAGGCCCAGGCTAAATCCTCAAGATTATAGAGGAGGTGGGAAGCAGTGTTTACTGTGGGCTAAGCCTCCCTTGGCAGGGTAGGAGGGCATAAGTGCCCTCCTTCTGCCCTCCAAGTCCTACTTGCCACCACTTTGTGAAGTCTCTGGAGCCATTTCTCAGCACTCCACTGCTTCGAGGCCACTGCAGTGTGTGGGAGCCCTGATGGGTACCTGGCCTGGCCCTCTACTCAGCTACCAAAAGGCCTACAGTGCAATCAGACTGCCAGGCCCAATCACCGGCTGTGCTGGCTCTGCTCTCCGTAGCTCAGAGGCCTCAGACCTGCACCCACATACCCATGGGCTTGTTTCCCTAACATGGTGGTCAAGTGCTATAACAGCAAGATCCTGTGTGAGCCCAGAAGAAGAAACCTACACACACTGGGAAAGGCAATCAGGCTCTTCCCAATGACCCCATCCCTCTCTTCTTTGGTCCAGAAACGAATCATATTTAGACCAACCTCTCTCCCCTTGGCTTTTGACAGATCTGGCATGTGTGCCTCCTAGCCACTTGCAAGACACTTTCCTCCTCCACCTTGCCAGCTAGTCAGCCTTCTAAATTCATCTCAGCTGGCCCCGATCTCTAGCTCCAAGCTCTTGCCTAGGAAGTCCACCACTCCTGCACAGAGTATTCCCAGCCCTGCTGTACACCAAGCTTTTATCATTTTCCCTCTTAACCCATTCCCACCAGACAGAAGGTCCGTCCAGGATAGAGGTGACAGCCGTCGAGGCTGAATGAATATGTAACCCTGGCTAACACGGAGTGCTTGTTCTGGCCAGGCAATGTGCCTGGGGCTTCACATATATTAGCTCAGCCTTCACTGACACCTGGGTGTGATACGCCACTCCACAACTGGAGAGAACATGGGCCATGCAGTTAATGGGGAGTGGTGGGGTTTGGACTCATCCCTAAAGGCCAAGTTTTTTAACTACTGGATTTCACTTCCACATTCAAAGATGATAGGTGGCAGAGTGGCAGTGTCCCACCAGGGTGAGTGGAGAACAAGCAGTGCCTGTCTGCAGATGGGAGGGGCCCATGAGCTGGGGTGCTGGATGCGGATGGGTTCCAGCTTCTAGGGTGCTCAGAACCACCCACTGCCCTGATGCCCTTAATAAGCAGCAGTGCCTGAACTATGTGCTGGGGTGGGGAAGGGCACATGGGACCCAGATGCTGCTCCATGCCTGCTTCCGGCTCCTGGGTGGCCCCATCTCATTGCTGCTGCATTTGGGGTTGGAAACAATTTTCCTGTCGGAAACACTGGCTGTGCCTGGTAGTTGTGGAAAAGCAAGGAACTGGTGGTGGAGGAAAATACTCAGGGGGCTGAATGCTGCCTTGCCCGAGAGGCCAGGGTAAGCAGTCTAGGCTGGTACTTCCGGGAAGCCTGTCTTCCGGTGAACCCTGAAGACAGACATGGGAGGAGGCCCATCAGGAGGACAAAATGTACAGGGCAGGAAAGAGGGAGGACCAAATACTTGTCAGGTGACATCAGACTTGGACTCTCCTTTCAAGGCTGTCAGAAGCAGTGGGAAGACTCCAGACCTGTGAAGAGTGGGCAGGTATCTCCCCTTTTCCTCCTCATAGACACCCAAGGGCTCCCTGCTCCTCCCCCACCTCCCAGTAAGGAGCTGTTCTGTAAGTAGCAACCCCTGTGTGCACAAGGAGCTTCCTTCTGGGGGGTTGAGGGTGGGCAGGTGGGCTCACACTAGGTGTGAATCTCACTCACCTCTGGCTTACTGGCAGGGTCCTGAATACTCAGACCCAGGGCTCAGCATGACTGACTTTCTGGGACAGAAACTCAACCTCTTGCCACAGGACACTAAGGCAAGGATCTATAATGCCAAGTGATCTGCCCCCCTGTGTGTTCTGCCCAAGGATGCCCAGACAACGGAGTCAACAAGCCCTGTTCTTTCACAGCAGTCCTGTTCCCTGGCTCTCCCCTGGAGGCCTGTTTGGCAGGGACACCCCCTCCTTCTACCAGTGTGGATGAGCCCCTCAACCATGGGTGCTGACTTAGACTAGTCAGCTAGTTACTCTTGCAGGCCTGGATTCAGGAAGAGGGCTTT